ACCTTTGCCGCTCTCTCGCTCTATTATTGCGTAATTGTTCGAGATTGTCGCTGGGCTCTGCGCCACGCCCATCGCTCCTTAGCTGTCAATGCTGGAGCGAAGAGCCTAGTGCCCATATCGGTGCGAATATCTCTAATTGCAATGCGGTCGTTGCATTTTCCACTTGTTGCTGGGAATGTCCACAGAAAATGTGCCAACATACTCGTACTCGTACCCGTACTCGTATATAACATTATTCTTTGTCACAATTTGTGAGTCAAAAAAGTTGAGCGTTGCATTGCAAAAATTAATGTTAAACAAATAATTCACTTGTTGTGGCTGTCGTTGTCGTTGCTGTTGTTGTTGTTGTTGTTGTTTATGCGCCTGTTATTTACGAGACACGGGCGCATCAGTCAGCGATATTTCACCTCCTCAGCACCTAGCGTCTGTCCAAGCAGCTCCGGCGTGTTGTAATCAGAGCATCCTTAATAAATCATAAATTTATTCCTGCCCCAAGACGATGGCGATCACGATGACGATGACGATGACGATGTTGCTGGCAAAGTCTCGGCTCATTGCATTGCATGTAAAGCAACTGGCTGGGACTCTTCGCGACTCTTTGCGACTCCAACGACGCGACGGCGTTACCCAGGGCCGTTGCAGGAACAGTTGTACTCGTATTCCATTTGTTTGAATGTGCCCCGACAAAACACGCTACATATTTCTGCATACATTGCCCGCGCCCCAGTCTGTGTCTCAGTGGCAGTGCCACTGCCAGTGCCAGTGCCAGTCCCATACCCCATACCCCATGACCAACCCGATCGCGTTCGTCATGTCAAACGTATTATTAACTTCACACAAAAAGCGTTCGATTTTGCACCGTTTGCTGTCGAAGCTTGTCGTATGTCGCACGACTGGACCGCACTCGGCGCTGACGACCGGGACGTTGATGATGACGTTGCATACGTATAGGATTTCGAGGTTCGAGTGGTCGTCGGGTTCAACCTGCCGCAGTTCCTGCACAAGTCCTCTTTCCATTTGTTTCTCGACCCAAAAACCAACTGATCGACCATCGAGTCAATTCGAACGAAGGATGCTCTGCCATCAGTAGGGCACTCCTTTAAAATGCTTCCTTAAGTGTTGAACTGAACATCATCATATTCATATATGAATAGTCAGAAATAACTCGCTTTTAAATAAAGCAAATAAATATATTTTCGATGCAATCAACTTACTTAGCTATCAAAATCGTTCGTATTCAAAATCGTCCTTTGCAGATCATATTACTTTTCTAAATGAAGATAAGTAAATAAATATATTTTCTGAGCAATCAATATCACTTCCACATATCCAAAGGCAAGCTTACTTCGCTAAAGCTTAATTAAAATCGTTCCTTCCAGATCATATTACTTTTCAAAATGAGCACTCAATTTTTATTTTCAAACAGCATTAAGATGGTGATAGAAAAGTCAGCAAGTTTTTAAAGAGTTATTATCTACCTCATTGTAAATATATTCTTTAATGAAGAAGATGCACAGTGTTCCTAATAACTAATCTCCCTTGGATTAAGTAACACTATTTGTTTTTAGAATAACAAATAGACCATTGCCCTGATTGATGTTGATTCATGGCTTGTCTTCGCTCAATATTCGTCCAGCTGTGAATTGCATAAGCTGTTCCAGGAATTGCCTCAAATTATTATAATTATAAATATTAAATTAATGCATTCTCTGTATCCGAATAATTTGTATGATTTTATAAGGTAATTATATATAATTATAGTTATATAAAACCATATTCAAAAGTTTGGTTTATAACGTTTTTATTATTTTTTCATTTATTAGTTTTATTGTGTGTTCCCCGATTAAGGTAGAAATCGGTCCTATAAAATGTAAAATTAGCTAAAATTTGATTAACATTTAGAACTAGGAAATTCGAAACTTTCATAGGTTTAAGAATTAAAACGAAAGGCATGGAGAGAGAACACAATATTAAACTTAATCTTAAAAAACACACAATTGATTGTCTGTTCTGGCTGAAAAGAAGATCCAATTTTGTCGCCTAATGCTATGCGTACGTCATTATAACATATGCCAATAAATCAAAGCTCAAAGTTGAATGTCCTTCCTCGTTCCAGATATGTCCATACACTCTTAAAAAAAGGGTGTAGGGCATGAAAACGCAAAGCATCGGAATCTTTTGCACATTGTAGTGCAACATGTCTTGTTTTTGGCGCTCACTCGCGGTCCGACTCTTGACTGTTGACTGCTGGCTGATGTCTGTAGTCTGTTGTCTGTCTCTGCATACATTAAGGAACAACACGCAGTCCTCGCTGCGACACCCTTGGGCCCGCCGACCGCCCCAATAGTGGGTTCTTGGCTATACAAAGCCGGAAATAATAATTCGATAAATACGCCATGAAGCTGCGGCTGAGACGCGTACTGATACTGTAAAACCGTTCATTTGGCCGTTCGTTGCGAATCGATTGGAGGGGCCAACACCAGCACCAACACCAACAGCAACAACAACATAAAATTGGCATGAAAACAACTCGGGGGCTAAGACCGAGACCGAGACTGAGACCGAGACTGTAACTGAGACTGTAACTGAGACTGAGACTGCGACTGAGACGGCACTGCTTCAATGATGCTGCATCTACTTGAAAGTGACGGAAATGCGTATCCAATTCATTTATCTATTAATGAGGTTTTACTGTAAGAAGGGGGACGGCCAGCATCCAGTCCAGCTATGGCCTAGCGGAAGTCGGCGTGGGAGTATTTAGAGAGCAGCGGATATTGCTTAAACGAGCTAGCAATTGATGCTGCGAGTCCGATTGCTGCAACTTCCCAAGCAATCTCAACACTCGCTACCCGCACCCAAGCTATCTTCAGAGCTCCCCGGCCAGAATCCGTGACATGTTCAGTTTCATCGTCCCTGTCTCCATCTCCGTCTCCGCCTCCGCCTCCGCTTCGCCTCTGTCTCTTATCCTGGCGCATATATCTTGCCATAGCTTTGAGCGGCTTCCGTTCTCTTCTGTCCGCTGTCCAATAGCTGGACAGTTGGATCGGGGGCGCACATTATAAGCAGCCGACGCGACGTTGCGATTGTTGTTGTTGTAGTTACTGTTGCAGTTGTTGCTGGTTGTCGCCTCTTGTTTTGCATACGTTCCGCGCATATTTCAAAATTAGTTCACAAGTGCTTGGAGCCGGGAACAATTGGCATTGTGAGTTGGACAACGATCGATCTGTCGGTCGGGCATCGGGCATCGGGCAGTTGGGTTGGTCGATTGCTCCTTCGATTGCTGCTGGAATTGGCGGCATTCAATGTGTTGCAATTGATTAACTTGTGACCGGCATGAAAAATGCAGCGAGTAAATTATTTCGTTCGCTCTGCATTCAAATCGTTTGCATAATTCTGGTTTTCCAACATGAAATCAATTCCAAACATCTTCTGAATCGGTGCCAGCTATTGCATGTCTTGTCCCTTAACGGAATATTTAGACGCGATCAGTGGAAAAATAAAAATAAGACACAAGACCTATTTGTTTAACTTCTTGCTTAAGTAATTGCCCAATTGAAACATCATTTTCAACAATGAAGGTAATTTAAAAAGGACTTGCTGGGCCGTATTCACACTGATACAAAAATGCTAACTAACTGGGGCCAAAGAATTGGGATTGTATTGGGGTTTATAAAAAGAATCTCACTTGACACAGGAGCAAGCCGTATTTAAATCAAGTCAAAGGAACCAAATTATTAAACGATTTAATGAACTAGAGGAATTATGATAGAAATTGTCAGGGAGATAAGGCTTTCTCTTTGTGTCTCATATTCTGTGTTTTCTGGGATTTGAATGATCTGAGTTAATGCATTATTTTGCACTATAAACCTGATTTTGTCTCCGAATAGTATAGCTGTGCTCATTATTAATATATGGAGCTATGGAAGGATTTTAAATAAATTTTATCTGTTCTTTCTCTATTTCTTTCTCTCTGTGTGTGTTTCCTTAAAGAAACAAACACAAATATAAAATTTTCAAATGTTGTTTTCTGAAATACACCCAAGCTAATTACAATTTTGCTTCAACCTTTAATTCAATATATATTTCACTATTAACTATATATTGCTACACCTATCATTTATTCAGTTAATATGAAATACTTATCAATGAAAATATTAAAATTTATGAATATATATCTCTCAGAAATGAATGCAGCTTTAAATCTCTATTTAAGGCAATACGTGTCAAATAAATTATAATAAATTTTGATCTTTAATGTAATTTGCAGATTTTGAAAATAAAATGTGATGTGAAATTACTTGATCTTTCAAATAAATGGTTGCTATTATTTTAACGAAATAGAGATCGATTATGTTTGAATATCTTTTCAGCAATAGAAGGACTTGCATGTAATTCGACGCTCTATCCAGGAACGAATGTTAGTAAATATCTTTACAGATTTTATTGACTTTTATTATTGAAAAAATATTTTTTTAATATTATTTTAACGAAATAGAGGTCGATTATGTTTGGATATCTTTTCAGCAATAGAAGGACTTGCATGTAATTCGACACTCTATCCAGGAACGAATGTTAGTAAATATCTTTACAGATTTTATTTACTTTTATTTATGAAAAAATACTTCCTGAAGTTGATTCAAGAATCCCAAATACTTGATAGATGAAAGAAATGAGCGATTTTTTTGGTTTTATAGCTCTTATGTTATCAGTTTAATGTCCTCCATGTTTGTTTAAAAAAAAATGAAATTCTTAAAAATAATTGTCTTCCTTAAGCTAAATTGTCTTCCATAAATTTTTAAGACTAAGTGCAGGCACAAGTGCGTTAAAACTAATTTGTACAATAATCTTGCCAAAAAAATGTTTCTTAAGAACTACGATAATAAATACTATTCGCTGAGGTAATACTTTGCCAATCAATGGTCGAGTTGCGTTTTTGGGGGGCGGGGGCAGGCATGCTGACTAGTTGCTGGAACTGGTAGAGTTAGCGCTTTAGATACGCATTACAGATCATCCTGCCAGAGTGAAATGTAGTCGAGTATCTCCTCATCCTCGCCACCAGAGCTGCATGAATTATTCGGATAGTCGTCGTAGCTGGTCTCCTGTTTCAGGCCATAGTAGCTGGCATTTGTAGCGGAGTTCAAATGCGCTGAAGATTGCTGGCCATAGTAGGAGTGAGTGTCGGAGCTATTGGAGCTATTGCTGCCCATGGAGCTGACGGAGCCCGTCGGCGAGCTGAGCTGCAGTTGCTGTTGCAGGGCGAAGAGGTGTTGCTGCTGCTGCTGGAAGTGCAGTTGCAATTGCTGCTGCTGTTGCTGCTGCAACTGTATCTGTTGCCCCAACTGTTGATCTGAGTGTTGTTGCTGCTGGTGCTGCGACTTGCTCTTGCCATCGCTCTCGTCAATCAGACGCTGCAGCCGACGTATGTACTCCACGGCCATGCGCAAGGTGTTCACCTTACTGAGCTTCTTATTGGCGCCCGGTCCGATGCCGCGTCGTCCATTGCTGAGATCGGCAATGACAGCAACGGGTATATGTTGCCGTAGGTTGCTGAAGCCATTGTTGACCTGCTTAACGCGATTGCGCTCGCGTGCATTGCGTCGCACCACTGAGGCGCCACCATTGCCCAGACCCAGGCCCAGGCCCAGACCCAAGCCCAGACCAAGTGACTCGTAGCTCGTGCTGGGTTTGCTGTAGGGCAGAGGTGCGATATGACGAGGTCGCTCCGACTGATAGATGCTTTGGTTTTCGCTACCCAATGCCATACTGATGTGGTGTTTTAGTGTGTTGCAAGTGTGGACTGTCTTTGCTGCTTTCTGCTGGCTGCTTGCTGCTTGCTGCCTTGTATTGCTGGCCCTAAGACGGCTGGCACTGTTCTGATGCCCTTCCCTGCGCTGGCACGCTATTTATAGGCCATCGCCAGTCATCCACAAACTCAGTGCGCACGCACGCATGCGCAGCAGGCTCACCTGCCCGGACTCTGTCCCCCTGTCTGTCTTACCTGTGCACACAAAAGGTGCAAAACTCAACAGCAGCAATAGCAACAACATCAGCAGCAACAACAACATCAGCAGCAGCAGCAGCGGCAGCAACAGCAGCGGCAGCAACAGCATCAGCGACCCTCTCGCTCAAGGATCGTTCGTATTGGCCTCTCATGAGCACACACGCTCACACATCTTGCTTCTCACTCAAAAACGCTCTTTGAGCGTTTCCCCCGATCCAGGTGCGTTTTGAGCGCTTTTCGCATCTGGGAAGAGTTTCGTTCCCAGTTGCTGAAGTGCTCGCTCGCTTGGCCTGTATTGTGTGTGTTTGAGTGTGTGTGTGCATGTGTGTGTGCGTGTGTGTGCATGTGTGTGTCCCCATCTCGGCGATGCTCATTACGATCATCGCAATCATCATCAGGTTGGCTCGGGTGTCGCGTGCCGGCTGCGATCCGGTTTAAAGTCGCTTTTGCGGTCGTGTGGCTCTCCGACTGCAACTTGGGGCAAACAAATTGGCTGCCTCGCTTTTGGGCTGCCTAATGAAAGTTGCCCGCATTGCCGATAGCCCCGACTTAGATACATGCATATATCATATAAGTGTATATGGCGTTTAATGCTTTAATAGCTCAGGACTCTAGCTCAACCCTCATCGCTAGGGTATGTCGCTATGGCAGTCATAAATCAAGCTCGATGTGCTCTGAAAAATTATGCACATTAAGCAGCTGAGTCAAGTCCTTGTCCTTGCCCTTGCCCTTGCTCTTGCCCATCCTAGATTTTGCGCTCAAGGCCTAGCTGGGGCCCAGCTTGATTTCTAGCCAACAGAACCGTTCAAGTCAACACCTCGCTCGGCAGCAGTTTTCTATTAACACTTCGATCATCGCTGCTACTCTGCTAATGCCTCGATCCTCTTTATGGGCAACGTAGCACCCGTTGCGCCAAGGCCAAGGACTGCATATTGTACACACTGCTGGGGCTCCTGCGGCCTCTCTATTCTCTATACATAGTTCGCTATTCTCTAATTTGAAAGCATTTAACTTGCAAAGAGGTCGCTGCTCATTTGGATTTCAAAGGCCGACGCGTCGGTCCACACGCTGGTTTACAACGCGTTGCGCGACATGAACTGCTGACCTTTGGCACCAGATCGGCGGTTGCACGCTAGGCAACCAAAGCCAAAGGCCTCTCTTTGAAGAATGGGCGCGTGCATGCTGTGCAGCATTTAGCACTTCTTTAAAGGATCATATTGCGACACTTCCAGGACGCACATCTGTTGGACCGAAGCGACCAACTGGCCACGGCACAGGACGCAGGACACTGGACACAGGACACTGGACACAGGACACTGGACGCAGGCAGGCAGCGAGGACCGAAGTCCCGGTTAACTTTTGGTCGGACCGATGCTAACATCCGGTTCGAGTCCATGCAAATCGCGGCTGCTTTGACTTCCTTTTGCATTTCTAGCGAAAAATTACTGTTTATGCAATAGAAATTTGACTTGCTCCGATTCCAATGGCCAATAGTGAGCTCCCAGTGTGTTCCCAGTGAAAGGCAACCAGTTTCTGTCGGCCTTCTTGTTGTCTGCTTCTTGCTCGCAATAATTCCCACTTGCACTTTTTTCTGGCTGCCGCATCGCCCAGCCCCAAAACGATGCCCTGGCATGCGAACCGAGCGCGTCATTATTATAAATTGTAAATTATTTAACGTTATACGGTTTAATTTCCGAACTGAACGACGACGGCGACAACGAAAGCGAGCGCGACAGCGACAGCGACAGAAACAGTAACAGCAAGAGGAAGAGCGACGATGATGGCTCTGGCCGATGTACACATGTCCCACGATCTGGGGTCTGGCGTACGCCGATTGCCGACTGCCGACTGCTTAATGCCCAGCAACAACAAATACTCCGATTAAGGCTTTGTAGAGTAAGACGCCGACGCCATACAGTGGGCTAAGTACATAGTTCACAAATAATTCCAATCACACTCAAAAAAATAAATAAAACACAGGTGAATTCAACTATTTACACTTGGATCCAACTATTTTTACCAACGATTGTGCACCATCGTGTGTTTTAGTAGATATAAAGTGTAAAGATTTAAAATCACAAGTGAATTTGTGTTCGTAGTAGAGATGGGCACGGGCCGGCTATTTTCGGCCCGACACGACACGGCCACGAAATTAACTTTTAGAAACACGCACGCGCACGCACGACGAAAATTTTTCTTAACACGGCCCAACACGAACTTTTTATATATTAAATATAAAAATTAAAAAAAAAATATATATATATATAAACATTACAAATTTTTATTCAGAAAGATTATCTTATCAATATTTGAGCTAAGAAGCCGAGTACGTCGCTCATTTAAAATATGTCCAGAAGTGGAAAAAACTCGTTCGCTTGTTGCAGAGCTGACAGGGATATTGAGTATATGCCTTGATAATTGCCGTAGCATTTTACATTTTGTTGTTTTTTTCCAGAATGTTAGCACACAAATTCCTGGATCAACTACACTACTTATATAGTCATCTATTTCAATATCCATTCTTGACCTGTCCAATTTAATTTTTTTTTTGAATTATTAGTGTCCAAAAATTCAGAAAAGTCGTGTTGACTATTGGGTGCTTCGTTTTCTGATTTTAGTGTTCTTTCGTGTTTCCTCGTGCGTGTTTTGTCGTGCCTTTTTGGCTCAACACGAACACGCACGGCCACGCACGAAATCGGAATTTACAACACGAACACGCGGGCCCACGCGTGGCACGAAGTGCCACGACAAAAAACACGGCCCGTGCCCAACTCTAGTTCGTAGGCTTGGTTCACTTCAAACGTTTCTTTTTCATAATTATAAAATATTTTCCCACTTTTTTGTAAACTCTGCTGTATTTCAACTCTTTTCAATAATGGAAAGTTTCTTATATATATTTAATTTATATAGAACAAAAATTCTATCAGAAAGTAACTTTCAAATTGAAAATGTTTTTTTATTATCCCTATCTTGACTTTTTTTTATGCCTTCTATAGCTTAGATCAGATCAATATTGAATTGAATGAATTGAATAACACTTAAATAACGAAGTTTTACACTTTGTTTTGAATATTGCTCATATTAAAATCACTAATTGAACATGTTTTTAGTAAAAATTACGATGTTTAAATTTGATTTGAATATGATAGAACATAAAATTGAATATGAAAATGTTCATCTAAAATTCAATATATAATATAATATTAAATTTTGTATATTTTTTGAAAACATGTAAATATATAAAAAAAAAAGTACTTGTAATTATTATTTTATGTTCAACGATTCATTAAATATTGGTTAAATAGTTGTAGTTGTATTTTATATTTGTTTGACAGACTCGCGCCACTGTGGCTTTAGTTGTGGCTCGAATCTTGCTGCGAATGTGACTGCGACTGCGAATATGTGAATATGAGTGCGACTGGACCAACAACAAGAACAACAACAACAATAATAATAATAACGGCTCGACTGCATGCAGATATGTATGAGCATATTTGAGTGTGTGTTTTGCAGCAGAAGCCGCTGCCGCTGCCGCAGCAGCAGCAGCAGCAGCAGGCGCTATCATTATCTGACACAAAAATTTAATATAAATTATGTTGACATGTTGGCTTAAATATGTACGCATATCGCAGCTTATACTACAGTCGATATTCAAGCGGCCATGGGTCTCAAAGAGCCGACTGTCATAATTGAGCGGGTCAGTTGGTTGTGGTAGCAACGATGGCAGTGCCAGTGGCTGTGGCATCAGCATTGGCATCGGCGTTCGGTGGCCACTAACTAGTCCAATAATTGCTAGTAAGACACACACAGACAAGAGCTGGACGCGGCCAAAGTGAATGAAGTCGTCATTAATATCGACTCGACCTGTCAATAACTTGACATCGCATCATTTTTCCACACTTCTGGCCCATTGCGTTGCACATTTTCAACTTTCGGACACTTTGTGGCGCGATTGTTGACGCGCCCCAAGCCAAGGTCGTCGTCGTCGTCGTCGCCGTCGCCGTTGCTGCTGCTGCTGCTGCTGCTGCGGCTTTTGAGGCTTTTGAGGCAACGAAGCTAAAATTGCAGTGGCAGTGGCAGTTGTTGTTACTGTCATTGTTGCTGTTATATTTACTGTTGCATTTTGCATAAGTTGGAATTAATCATATAGTACACATACATATATTTACATATAAATACAGTATGTATGTATATGTATGTATGTGTGTTGGAAAAAACAGATTTACTTGTAATGTTGCTTAGGGGAGAGTTGAACTGCTAAGGCTCATAACCGTACTTGGGCTCTGCTTAATACGCTTGCTTAACACCTTGAATGGAGGGGTTAGTATATTTTCGATAGCTGTCGTTAAGCTCATCAATAAGTCGTGATCACTTTAATAAGTTATATGTAATATCTGGATTATAGATTATTGAAAATCACGTAGCTAATAAGTGATAAGATATCAACCGTAATATGGAGTTTTATATGGAGTTTTCTTCAATCCAACTGCTGTTATTAATCTGAGCTCGTACACATTTCGGATGAGATAACCGTCTAGCAACAACAGCTCATTCCCATTGGTTACAACAGCAATATTTCCCCCACCATAGTCCTTAAACCTAACTCAAATTTGTTGCATCCATCGTTCCTAGGTCCGCTATACTTTATGATATAGTAGTGTATATCTTTAAATAAAACAAAAGTTTTTGAAGAGCTCACAAATTTTGTTAAAATGCCTTTATAAACCAACCGTGTTTTCTTCGCTACGATCTATTTTCCCACCGATCGGTGCTGCATGGGTGTACATAATATATGATCTGTAATAATTGGGTTGAAGTCTTAATACAAAATTCGTCATATGGACATTCACAGAGAGGGACTACAGCGAAGCGATTTATTTGAATCTATTTTATGTATAGCGACAGTTTTTATAAATTTGTTCAACAATAAAGACTCTCTTGGGCTTTGTAACACTCTTTTGCTCATTAACATTTTTGGCAACAAAGTTCTGCTTATTATAGCCTGTACCCAAAGGGTGAAAGGCTATACTAGTTTTGTGCGCATGTATGTAACACACAGAAGGAGGCGTGGCAGACCCCACAAAGTATATATATTCTTGATCAGGATGAGAAGACGAGTCGATATAGCCATGTCCGTCTGTCCGTCTGACCGTCTGTCTGTATGAGCGCAAGGATCTCAGTAAGTGCAAGAGCTAGGATAACCAAAATTGGTATCAAGGTTCCTATAAGCCCTAGGCAGAACGAGTTTGTTTATTTTTTCTGATACACCCCCCCACTCCCCCGCAATTCGTATTTTTTCTTATAACTTCCGTAATTCTCGGAATTTAAAAATCAATTTTGGTAGGTACATCCAGTTAGTACTAATGTGTCCGTGTGCCAAATTTCATCATGATAGGTCAATTCTGAAGAAAGTTATAGCCATAAGTAAAATCGCTGCTCATGCGCTGCCTGCAGCTCTGTCGGCAGCTCTGTCGGCAGCTCTGTCGGCAGCGCTGCCCGCAGCTGTTGTTGTTGTTGCTGCTTTGGTTCAACTTTGTGCTGCATACATACACGCATATAAACACGCATAGGTACGTGATGTAAATGTATGCTGTTTAAACTGAACATAAACATGTATTCTAATTTAATTTAATTAATTATTTTAATTAATTAATTCATTCATTTTTTTTAATAATTTAATTTTTTGTATTTTTTTTTTTTTTTAATTTTTCCTTTTTGTGGAGAGTACAGGCTATTTTACTGTCGGACTTGCTCGACTGTAGCGTTCTATCTTGTTTTAAATATAGTTACATGACACACAGGATACATCAGACACTTACTTCTCTTAACTGCAATAACTTTTGAACTCTAATTCACATTTTATTCCCTTCAAACACTGAAAACAAGTTGACATTAGTATTCGATAGCGTTGTTGTATTTCTGGAAAGTGACATTTGAGATACATAATCGCAGTCGCCTGGGAAAATGGAATCAGAATATATTCAAGCAACGCCAATATAAAATAACTTTCAATCGGCGCGTGATAATTGTTGGGCACAGTTGAAGGAAATTTTAGAAAATTGCTTTATACAGATTGCTTTTGAATCAAAGAAACTTAAACATCATGGTTATTGTCGTTATTTATACGAGCATGAGTCAGGTAAAGTACAGTTTGCTCATTTTGGACGCGGATTGTAACATGGCCGAGGATATTGGACCATTGCTGCGAACTCTTAATGAGCCCCATCCGAACGAAGTGGTGGTCAAGGTTTTCTTACATAAGAACATGCGCGATCTTTTCTTAGAGTTTCTGTACTCGGGAGTACCAAAAACTAAGCTCATTTCACATTTTGAGCTCGAAGAAAAGTTTCCCAGCTCCTTTTCAAATGTGAGTCGTCCGGGGACAACCGTACCTGTTGGCGTGTTCTCCTCGAAGAAGGAGAGGCGCGCCCTGGTAGCCGAAGCCATAAGCACGCTGCGTGGTCCAGAATATGATCGCATTCAGGAACACACGACGGTACAATTTGAAACAATATCGTCCTCGGAGCCGTATCAGGTACAGACTGAGGAAGGCAGTACATGCACTAGCGAGGATGGGTAGGTTCGTTTTTTCAAAAATAATTGAATAGCAGGCTATTGATTTTGAACAACTTTTTTGGAGCAGAAGTCAAGTAACAGATTGAGGCAATGGACACAAATATGTCATGCTCTTGGCATACGGAAGCAGAACATATTCAGGATCCTGTACACCTTCTAGATGAATAACAAAATATGAATGCACGATGGAAGTCAGCCAATCAAGGCGATTTGACTGTACATACTTCTTAGATTCCTACATGTTTAACAAGCAAAACTTTTAAATAAATACGTTTATATGTGGAATAGCATATTAAATATAAATGCACTTATATTTGTATGTATTGTCAGGTTATTTTGTTGTTGTTCAAAAAGTGCACAAATTGTTGGTTTTGTTCCACTGTTTCGCCCATTGAACCTAGCAGCACTGCTGTTTATTTATTTATTTATTGTTAATTACTTTATAGTGCAACAAGTGGAGTCACTTATATGTTAAAGCACTAGTCACTTAAAGAACTCTGTCGCTAAACAGAGTTTACATATGTACCATATTAGTTAGTTTTTAATGCGTTTGTATTGAAAGTTGAGACAAGGAATAATAAAAAAAGAAAAGTCAATTTGTTTTTAGCGACATTAAAGAAAAATAAATTAATCTAATAATAAATAATAAATCGATTTCATTTTCCTTCAACTGATTTCTTTGCAGCACGCTCGTTCGACGGCTATCGCTCAAGGGGCCAAAGTTTTTCATTTTTAAATATGTTTATTATTTACTTAGTTTTGTACAAAACTGCTTAATTAAGTTCTGAAACTCATAATATCGGGTGACAATGGAGGAAATAAGTGATAATAACAACAATTATAACAATAACGTTGTAATGATAGTAATAGTAACAGCAAAAGTAAATACATTTATTTACACTTAGTAACAATTTATTGGCATCAACTCAATGATCTACTAGAGGCTATTCCGGCGACTCCGGCCACCTCCACGAGTATCACCCCACTTGGCACGCCGAGTGACATTGACCGACACGACCGCGACATGACACGACACCAACAAAATGCGACCATTGTCCACTGGCAGGCTGTCAAATGTTCATGGGCATCAAACGGCGGCGTCGACACATGAAAGCACAAAAGCCGCGCCCGACCTCGGCCAGCGACTCCGACTCCGACTCTGACTCCGAGTCCGACTCCCACTCGATGTTGTCATCAGTCCGCGGTCTGATTTATGTGCGTCTGTCAGCGCTCGTCGTTGGAACGATGGCCACTTCTAAGGTGCGCATTTTGACGCCGCCAGTTCTATTGGCCATATACTCGTATATACGCGATATTTATGGCACTGCGCGTGCTGGCTACCAAGATGCTACCGGGATGGTACCGGGGAGCACGGGGTCCAACTATCGATTCGACTGTGGACGACCAAAGAGCGCGAGCGATTTTTGATTAATTGTAATGCGAGAACTTTGATTAATTGCAAGTCGGCGTTCGTATTGGTGATGCTGATGGCGATGACGTTGCTGACTCTGACTCTGACGCTGACGCTGATGGTCTCGCGGCTGCAACATAACAATTTGTTTTGGCATTGCATTAAATCAGCAATACCTCCATAAAGGTGATGAGGCTCCATATCCAGCGTGAGATTGTTTGAACAACACCTCGCTCATTAGAGACAGCAAAGACAAGAGGTGTACAAGTAGAAACTTCATTCCTCCAAATATTATTAAATAGATTGAACACTCAATTAATATGTCCATTAACATATGTATGTACTATATGCGATTTAATTTATTAAATTAGTTCATTTCGACATTAAACATTTTTAACAAGAGTAAACACTTAAATAAAGTTTGCTGAACCAGTCGTTCCCATGGCAGCTATATAATAAATGCAACATTTGTATGAAACTTCAGAACAGGGACAGAAAATTCAGTGACTTAGGTGTTAGGGTATTATAAATACAGAAAATATCAAGTTGTCTTCAAAATATCTTTATAAAAAAAGGGTTTTAATCTATCTATTATGGTTTTGTTCTGTACGGGCGGACAGACAGGCGACCATGTCTACCACGATGCCTCAGATCATGCTGATATATTCCCCTTCTCTCTTCGGATACAAGGTCTAATAATTCATATTGAAATGAATAGCGAATATTATTTCATTCTCGTTGTATTGACATGATCATAGGAAAGAAGGGGCTATTTTTTAAAATATAGTAAGTTAGGGGCACTTCTTGTATTTTCTAGTTTAGCGCAAGTTAATATTAAATCTCGGTCTAGACAAGTTTTGTGCCAAGAATCGGGTGTCTGAATGAAAAACTTGAAAATATTCGAAAATATAATTTCTAAGTCTTAATTTACGCTTTGGGGCTCTACAATTTACAGCTTCAGGATAATAAATATTACTCACCCTCAATTATGTAATATGCTTAGAATCTTTCCGAGTAGTGATGAATTGAAGTTAAACACTAGACCAACAACATTTTGGCCAACTCTTTAGGCCCTACTGTAGTGTATTGAGTGCGAATGTGAAAAGCATCGCTATATTTATGAGTTCCTTGAGATTTATGAATGAAGCGTTGCTGGCTGGTTGTGCGACCTTCGGTGCATGTTGTCAAAATTCCAAAAAAAAACCAAAAATAAAAAAATAATAATAATAAGGAAAAGAGAATGAGGTAGAGGTAGAATAAGCGACGACGCGCATCACTCAAAAGGGTGTGCGGCAGTTCCTGCTCCACTCAGCAGTTGGTACTGGAGCGATGCCAAGTCGCCGGTTCTCATTCTCTCGTCCATGGTTGCGAGGCTGCAATTATGCAAAAAGTTGTCAACTTGTTGCATGGGGCAAGGCGTGGCAGCCTAGCAGCGCAGCAACGCAGCAACGCAGCAACGCAGCAGCGTGACTATCAACAAAATACAATCAACAACAAATCAACGGCACGAACAAAATACAAGTTGAAAACATATATATACTATATGTGTATGTATGTATGTATGTATATGTATTGTGCGATATATTGGCGAAATGCTAAAAAATGCTACTTGCAAAATGTCAAAATTCGTCGGCCGCAAGCGACAATTTACATGTCGCGCGCGCAGTTCCAAAGGCAGCGGCATGTGGGGAGGAGATGCGCGAAGCCGGAGCTGAAGTTGGAGCTGGAGCTGGAGCGGGAGCGGGAGCCGGAGCTGGTCAACCAAAACCAATCAACGCGTCTGTCAAAAGCGGCAGCTCTGAATTTGTATGTGTGTGTGGTTGTGCTGTGGCTGCTGTGGTCGCTTATCGGTAGCCGTGCTGAAATCAGCTTCTGGCACTCACGCGCTGCCAGCCATCCACAGACTCTCGCGATCCGCTGCCCATTCACCGGGCTGGCTGGCTGGCTGGCTGGCAGCCGTCGTGCTCGTTCGTCCTGTCACAATTACAACAGCAAGTGCACAGAGGGCGCGCAGACTAATGACAACGGCGGCAGCAACAACACCAGCAACAACAACAGCAATATTACAGTTGACATGGAAACTTGATATTGCACACGGGCCAGTGGACTGGGGCTGCGGCTGGAGCTGGGGCTGGGGCTGGGGAGGATTTCGAAGGGTGCAGAGGCCGATCGGGCAGCCCGTCGGACAGGCATTGGCGTGCGCGTGCAGTGCAATTAACTCTGTAAAGTTGTTACAGCAACAGCAACATGAACATCTATACCAATAACAACAACCACAACCACAGAAGCAACATCCATAAGCCGAGTAGCGATGCAACACTTGACATTGAGCGGCACACGCACAAGGCAGCAATAACAACAACAACAACAACATCAACAACAACAGCAAAGCGGACGGCGACAATTTCACCTGTTGCTGCTACCTGCTACCTGCCGCATCGCCGCTGACACAGTAACTTATATTTGCATGCCACGCACAGTGCGTTGAAAACAAAAAGCTAACTTTATAATTTGTCATTCGATTCATACAGCAGGTATGTTTGTCTATAGACTAACTATAGAGCCATCAAAGATTTCTATGCAAATTTCCCAACATCTCAGCATATCTAATTTCATTTAATATATCTACAAAAAATATCAAAGTGCAAAATAATCTTTTACGGAATCCGTTTCAATGATTGTGGTTCCTGATTGAATTTATTTGTATACGTAAAGGTGTCCGGTTCATTTTTGATATTGATGTGAGGAAAGGGGCTTAGAACATCGAGTCAACTAATTGATCTCATTTACTGCCGCTGTTGGGCCACTGTGCAGCTGATTTAGACTAGGAATTGTGGATTTGTACTTGGTTGGAGCCCTCGCTCTTACAACTTACTGGCCACACAATCGGCCACAAAATGGCCGACTGATGGGCACACACTCGTACTCGTAGTTGAGAAGATGAGATCGGAACATATCGGATCAGATCAGATCAGAGCAGGCGGGTGGCAACCACACGTTCAATCATGTAATGCAGTCAGGGAGCCAGCCAGCCAGCCAGCCAGTCGGTCAGCCTAGATTCAAAGCCACAAGAATCAATGACGGTCACTAATTAAAGGCAGCAGGCCGGATGGCATGCAGCAGGTCGTGCGCCGTGCCAAGAGACGTGTACACTTGAGGTCAGGGTCAATTGTCGTACATCATTTTGGCTCGTTAACAAGCAAATGAATGGCAGCAAGTGCAAAAATGCGGCCACACGCTGTGCTGCTCTCGATCGAGGAGAGGACTCCTAGGGGCGAGGCAGGGTGTACCGAAGTAGGGCAAGACGGAGGCTATCATTACAGGGGCAGAGAGGCGTCCCAGTCGAGATTGGAAGGCGTTTGCGGATCATTCAGATTCACATTCACATTCGCATTTCGTTCGCTCGTTCGTTCGTTCGTTTGTTTCTTCGTTTGTTTGCCGTCCAATTAAACTTTTGGGCTCGGAGTGCAGCCGTGGGTAATTATATTTGATAGGCGGGCATATAGTGGTCTCGACTATAGTTCATGGGGCTGGCCAGCACACTCAGCACATCATTAGATGTGTGTCTGTAGAAGAAACAGGGTCGCAAAAACTTGCCAATCCTACCTATCATAAAAATAGCTATGTATTACATAGAATTTGGATAGAGTCTATATTGTATCTATATGCATCTATATGGAATGCTAATGGTCTATTTAAAAATAATCAGCAGTGAAACGCATTTCGGAATTAGAATTAAAACGAAGGCAATCTTACAAATACACACACACATTAATAC